AGATGTCTTGGGGCATGTAACCAAGCAAAGGTTTTGTGGATTTTTTGGTGTTATATATTATTATGCTGTGATAATTTTACTAGGCAGACCTGTAGTCGTAACGTGAAGGATTACATGTTTGTCGTCTTTCACTCACGCCTGGAGTGCTACATCGACACGGTGATCCTGAACAAATTGCTAACTGGTGTATCACTGGCTGCCCTTGACAGGTATCCCATGCCATACTGGCCGAAAGATAGAGATAGAAATCAGACAGAGAGGAAATCCAATCATACGTACGAACATGAGTTAATTATGTTGCATGTTGCGAACGTTGATAGCATTCTATGGAAGATCCCCTGATCTGCTAAAACTGAGATGATCCTCTACACTAAGGGTTGCTATTGCTTTTTGCTTTTTCCCGAAGTAACCTTTGAAACGTATGATATTTACAAATAGCCAAAATGTGTTTAAAACGGTAATATTACGCATATGCAGATGATGCAGATTATGCTGAAAGAATGTACAAAATATACCTTAGTTGTTCATTACTGTTAACCATCGATTCCCCGAGATTTTCCCATTTTAAGTTCAACTGCAGGCACGACTTCTTAGGTGTGAATATGATTCGTTACAATGGTTCGTGGTTATGGGCCTATCTTGTCTTAGGATACAGCGTCATCTTATGTTGTCCGGCATTACCGTCAACTGTGTGACTACGAATAACTGATGATACGTGAGAACGCAGCATAAGTCTCTCATCGGTTGAGTGTCAGCCGACACCAGGCATGGTTGCGTACAACTGTTAGAAGAATCAGTTTACATCGATGCTGGTAAAATACGGGATGGCTGTCCGACTCAACCAACTCAACCACATGAAAATTCACGTGATGAAGAAAGCAATATTGTTGAATGATGATGTAAAATCTTCCTTAGTTTAATTGGACATCACTGCTAAAGCGGTGGTTTCAACTGATTGGTTCTAATATGACAGTGATAAGTACTGCCTTAGTTTCCCCTCATCTTTCAGGGTTTATGATGGCCGAGACTTGTGATTAACTTTTGCCATATTTCAGGGGCTTGATGCTGGCAGGCAGTGATGTTTTCCTTCAAACCTCTCGAAGAATTATGCGCATCGTTCAGTCGGTGGTTTTGGAATGAAGACATCTGGTTGCCGCCCGGAACCGGATGGGCGTCGCTAAAGAACTCGCATAACTCTGACTACAGGAAGTTCTCTGATCTCTGGCTACCCATGTACTACGCGTTCGTGATTTTGGCTCTACGTGCCGCCTTTGAGTGGTACGTCGTGATTGACTGGTCGAACCGCTGTGTTCTGAAGGGATGTGATATATCAAAAGCTTTTAAGCAGATAGTAATGCTGCGCTGGTTGTTCCTGTTGTCCGGTTATTGATTTGCCGCTGTTGTTCATTCCGATGAGCTGGCCGGTTAAGCTTTTCAAACCATAATAATGTTATTAAAACGAGAAAAAAATACTTTCCTCTGAGGCATTCGATCGATAATAGATCATAATTACCATAGCTACTGTCTCGTTTTATTTATTTCATTAGAGCAGAAGCTGAATTTATTAAAAATACTCGGGTGTAATTGCCTAACTGCATATCTTCCGCGTTTTTCCATGTTACTATGAATCCAGCGAAAGTTGAAGAGCACTATTAGTTTTAAGTGTTTCCCAGTTACAAACAAGTTTACGTGCGGCGGATGGCTTAACTGTAGCGAGGCTAAGAGATACAGCATTAATTGTGCTTTCACTCCTAAAGGTGAATACTACCAACAGGCATTTCATGAACCGCTCAGGACCAAGTGTTGTTCTCTCACTCATTTGCATGACGCTTGTTTCCTTCATTTTTGGGTAAAATGACTTCAGAATACTTTTTCAGTCGTCCTGCCGTTTGCCGATCACTAGGCCTCATGAACTTGTTCTCAGAATGTGACAGATTAGACATCTCGATTCATCAATATCTAGATTGTCATGTGATTTTGCTCAGAATCGATTTCTGGATATTGTTGTAACATGCCTAAACGATACGACATGCGATGTCCTGGTTTTGAGGAGAAAGCATATAAATCAGTTTTCTGCCTTGCCTTATTTCTTATCTTGTCGAGTCTAGACACATTGAAACCCTTCGAAGAAACCTAATTTCTTTTAGGTTACTAGTGATGCGGTCTTGCATCCATGCACTGCAGCGGCTCAAATACCATGGAGCCGTGGCCTTCTGAAATGGTCCCCTAGCCGACTAGAAGAAAAGGCACGGTGCCGTTGCGCCATTTCAATCCGGTATCAAAAGAGAAAATGTTATTTCTCTTAACGGCGGTATCGATAACTAGCAGCATGCTAGAAACCCATAAGATCGAGTTTACTTTTTATATATGAGCCTTATTTCTGCCGTCTGTTTTCTCGATTTCACTCTTACTATATTTTCTACTCATGAACTTATATGAGGGTAGGTGCGTGTACAGACTTGAGACAAGCAGCTTTTCATACTGCTTAGTTCCTTCATCGTCGCGGATCAGTTTAGCTCCTATGTCACTGCTCTATTCACGTTCTGCCCGCCTTAACTCGCAAATCCTGTCCGTGGACGCTTAGATTTTCTCCATACAACATACTCACCTTCTACTGTGAGGATCGTATTGAGGAGCTTTTGTTTGTTTGTTTTTTAGGTTTATGCCTAGTGTTGACTGTTGTTTCATGCTGAGCAATTATTCTCCTGAACTTGTTCACTTTTTCTGTGTTATGCGCGAGGTGCTCGCTGTGTCCCCTTATTTAAGTCATGTAAATTACATGATATTTGATTTTGTGTTGGCTGTGTGTCCAATTAATGCTGACTTTAGGTGTATAGCTAGGCCGCTTGGACGTTTCTTTGGCATACGCGATACGGGAAGCCCACTACCTCATTTTTTCAGATGTATCGTTCACCGCGTTCGCTCAGTGGCCAATTTCGGCAGTAATGGATGCGGCAAAGGCTATTACATGCTCTTTGAGGAAAGGAATGGACGTATGGAAAAGATTGATGAACGCAAAGGTGACGCTGTTGAACCGGCGGCTGGCAACAATAGTTCGAGGAGGATCCGAACGAATTCTGTCTCGAAAATCATACACATCATTCATCAGAAGTCAGTGTTGGATAAGTTTTCTGAATCCTGGTAAGTCATTTCGATTATCCTATGTAGCAATGATATAAGCCATAATACTTCATCATTCATCTGTTTTCCATTGAAGAATTTAGGGATGCTTGCCTTAAGTTGTTCCTCAGAACGCTTGAGTACATATTCTTCTTTCCCAGACAGATTTACACTGGAGTTGTGGTTTAGCCTCTCTTCTGTGCATGCCTGCATATCTTTCTGTGTGTGGAGAGCTGCTGCAAGCTATACAGCGTACTTTTCAACTAGATGCAGATACGTCACTCCTAAACAGTCTTTGACTAAAGCCAACGAATCGATGATTAGTACCCCACCACATTCTCGATGAAAGAAGGATGCCATACAGAACGTCTGCTATGGACGTGTAGGGAATTCTGACATCCAGATATTGTAATAAACTATTTTCCGTGCAGAGTCTCGTATTGTAGTTACTGGTAGTTATTATGTTCGTAGTAAACTTAACTAACTGCTGTTCCTTTTTAGTTGGAGGTTTGTCTATTATATATTCATATTCGTGTATGGCATCATCGCTTTATGGAATGTAAGCTGTCAAATACTTTTACTTATCGTTTTTAAGACATTCTTATTTTAGAAACCTTGGTTTTGGGACACCGCCTACTGCTGGTACGGTTATCCTTATCATGTAAGACTTAAGTACTCATTAAAGTTATAATA